CGAGGGTGGGTCATGAACAGCCCCTTGGTATAGTGCATGTTATCTCTGAAATGTTTTAAAATCTCACAGCCAGCCTCTGTCTTTGCTCTGCAGCTCCAGCAGCTGCTCACAGGAGAGAGACACCAGCTGCCACCAGGGATGTGGCATCAGCAGGGACAGTGCCCCCAGCAGCTGGCATCTTCCCCATTCACTGCCTCTGACAGCAGCAGAAGCAGGATTGGATCCTGCTCCTAAACTGGCTGGTCACTATCACAGAGGAGCAGCTGACAGACTTGTAGGCCTGGCACGTGGAGGACATCATACATAAGTGGAAGAAGGACATGCATGAGTGGGAGGAACTGTGAAGAGCAGGCATACTGTGCCTGGCTTCTGGACCTTGAGGCTCTGTTATTTCCTATAAGTACACAACCTTCCCCATTAAAGGAACAAAATCACTCTCCAAAGACATGTCTATATTGCCTATTCCTATACTAGGAGGACTTGCCCAGAGACGGCAATAAAAAAACCACTCCATTTTAGTCAGGACCTGAGAATTGGTCACAAACAGAGCCAAATGCTGTTTCCTGTATTATGTAAGTGGATTAAGACAGTTAAGTGTGATTTTGGTCCACCCTGCTAAGTTGTCCATTCATTATTTAAAAAAATAATTAATTAGAAGACTGTTATCTTAACCTTAAAATTGTGGCACATAAAAGGAGGAGGAGGAAATGGTATCCACCAACCTAGAGGGTTGTACCCAGAGAGTCGTAGTGGATGGCTTGGTATTGACCTGGAAGGGTGTGGGCAGTGGGGTCCCACAGGGCTCGGTCCTTGGACTGATACTCTTCAATGTCTTCATCAGTGACTTGGATGAGGGAGTGAAGTGTACTCTGTCCAAGTTTGCGGATGACACAAAACTGTGGGGAGAAGTGGACATGCCAGAGGGCAGGGAACAACTACAAGCAGACCTGGACAGGTTGGACATATGGGCAGAAAACAGAATGCAATTCAACAAGGAGAAATGCAAAGTGCTGCACCTGGGGAAGAAAAATGTCCAGCATTACCTACTGCCTAGGAAATGACCTGCTTGGTGGAACGGAAGCAGAAAGGGATCTTGGAGTCCTAGTGGACTCCAAGATGAACATGAGTCGTCAGTGTGATGAAGTCATCAGGAAAGCTAATGGCACTTTATCATGCATCAGCAGATGCATGATGAACAGAACCAAGGAGGTGATACTTCCCCTCTATCGGGCACTGGTCAGACCACAGTTGGAATACTGCGTGCAGTTTTGGGCGCCGCACTGCAAGAGGGATGTGGATAACCTGGAGAGGGTCCAGAGAAGGGCCACTCGTATGGTTAAGGGCTTGCAGGCCAAGCCCTATGAGGAGAGACTAGGGCACCTGGACCTCTTCAGCCTCCGCAAGAGAAGGTTGAGAGGCGACCTTGTGGCT